TGATGCAGAGAAGCTTTTAAAATTTAGTTCCAAAAATGACTTTTGAGGTAGAAGACTCCGTGACGCGAAACAAAAATTCCCAAAACTGGGAACCAGCTCCGTGACGCGCCATTGATGTTGAATTTCGTCCGACGAAATTTCTTCTTCGTTTTTTGGCTCTAAACCCTCTAAATTCCGTGGGTTATTTTACCCAACACTTAGAATCGATTAAATGTTCAAAGTACATCAGATTCTACTCAAAATCGAACCTAAAATCACAGATTAGGATCAAACAACTCCTCAACGAATTCAACAAAACAAGAATCTAATGAAACTTCAACAAACCCATTAAAGAACTCAATTTCTAAGCTTTCAAGAACTTAAAACTCGCTGAAATAAATCATGATTGGCGCGTGGGCAAATTAACCCAACACTATGTGATATCACATACCTTGTAGGGATCACCCCCGACGAAATCCACAAGCTAATCTCTACGATCTTGACGAATCTTGAACGTTCTTTCTTCCCCTTCTCCTTTCTCTTTTCTCCAAGCCCTAGCGTGAAATTCACTTTTCTTAAACTGACTAAAATCTGACTTTACCCAATTAAACTCCTAAAAACAAATTAATTAAGTTGGGTAAGGGAAAGACCAAACTACCCTTCTAAAATCCGGATAGAACTTTCCTTATTCGAACAACCCAACTTCCAAAGGGAATAACTTGCTGATACAAACTCAGAATCGCGCAAACTCGGCGGCGTTGGAAAGATCATTCCAAGATATTTTCATCCATATCTAGAAATACACCTAAATCATCGTGATCTAGGAGTTATGGCCGTTTGATGTTGACCAAAAACTCACTTTTCCTAACTTAAATAATTTTCCAGATTTTTCATTCTTTAAAAAAAAAATGACTATTTCCAGTTCTTAGCTTCTTCCTAGCTATTTCAATTTGCAAGATGTTACAATATCTCCCCCTTGGGAACATTCATCCTCGAATGAGATTACTCTTACTAGGCTAATGGTGGTATCATCAAGTTCAAACACCCAACAAACAAATGCAAACAAACAAGATGCTCGCTCATAATTTAAAGAGTACTAAGAAGAGAATTAGTACCTTGGTTTGCATTTTCTTTGGACTCAAAGAGATGTGGATATCTCTTCTTCATGTCTTCTTCAACTTCCTAGGTAGTTTCCTCAACGAATTGATTCCTCCAAAGGACTTTGACTGATGCTACATATTTTGTTCTCAACTTGCGAACTTGGCGATCCAGAATCTGAACAGGAATCTCCTCATAAGATAAGCTATCCTTGATCCTAATATTTTCAGTTGGTATGATCAATGAAGGATCGCCCATGCACTTCTTCAACATGGAGACGTGAAATACCGGATGAACCGCTGCTAACTCTTGTGGTATCTCCAACTCATAAGCTACTTTGCCAATCCTCTTGGCTATTCTATAAGGTCCACTATATCGGGGACTAAGCTTCCCCTTCTTACCAAACCTCATAAACCCCTTCATGGGTGAAACTTTGAGATATACCCAATCATCTACTTCAAACTCTAACTCCCTTCTCCTAACATCAGTGTAGGATTTCTGATGACTCTGTGCCGTTTTCAACCTCTCTTGAATCACTTTCACCTTTTCCAAAGCTTGGTGAACTAAATTTGGTCATATCAACCCAGCTTCAAACCATCCAATAGGAGATCTGCATCTTCTCCCATAGAGAGCTTCATAAGGAGCCATTTGAATGCTAGAGTGGTAGCTGCTGTTGTAAGCAAACTCAATGAGAGGTAGGTGATCATCCCAATTTTCTTTGAAATCAATCACACAATCTCTCAACATATTTTCTAAAGTCTGAATAGTGCGCTCTGCTTTCCTATCAGTCTGAGGATGAAAGGTAGTACTTAAGTTCACCTTTGAACCTAAGCCTTTTTGGAATGACTTCCAAAATTGTGCAGTAAATTGTGCACCCTATCTGATATAATTGAAACAGGGACTCCATGAAGTCTTACCACCTCCTGAATATATAACCTGGCATAATCCTCTGCTCAATGGGTAGTCTTTACCGGCAAAAAGTGGGCTAATTTTGTCATTCTGTCGACAATCACTCAAATAGAATCATGCTGTCTGCGAGACCTTGGTAAACCTATGATGAAATCCATATTGATCATCTCCCACTTCCATTCTGGAAGTTCTATATTCTGAGCCAACCCACCGGGCCTTTGATGCTCTACTTTCGATTGTTGGCAATTTGGACACTTAGCGACAAATTCTGCAATGTCCTTCTTCATGCTATTCCACCAATAAACCTCTCTCAAGTCACGATACATCTTTGTGGAACTCGAATGAATGGAATATCTGGAGCTATGAGCTTCCTCCATGATCCTTTCTTGGAGTCCATCCACCATAGGTACACACAATCTACATTGATATCTCAATACACCATCTCCCCCTTGTTCAAAAGCTAATACTTTTTGCTTATGAACATTTGCCTTCAATTCAAGCAAAATGGGATCTTGGTCTTGCTTTTCTTTCACTTTTGACACTAATGAAGATTCAGCCCCATTCAACACCACTATTCCTCCTTCTGTGGAATCCATTAGCCGGACTCCTAAGCGTGCAAGTCTATGCACATCTTTCGCTAACTCTCTCTTTTCTTCCTCAACATGGGCAGTACTACCCATAGACAACATGCTCAAGGCATCAACAACAACATTAGCCTTATCTGGTTGATAAAGAATTCTCATGTCATAACCCTTGAGTAATTCTAACTACCTTCTATGTCTGAGATTAAGCTCTTTCTGAGTGAACACATATTGAAGACTCTTGTGATCAGTGAATACATCAACATGAACACCATACAAATAATGATGCCATATAGTCAAAACAAATACTACAGTAGCCAACTCTAAGTCATGGGTTGGGTAGTTCTTCTCATGAACTTTCAACCGTCTGGAGACATAAGCTATAACCTTGCATTCTGCATTAATACACAACCCAAACCAACTCTAGATGCATCACAGTACATCACAAAACCTAGAGTACCTTTTTGTAAGGTTAAAACTGGGACAATAGTCAACCTTTTTTTCAATTCCTGAAAGCTTTTCTCATAAGCTTCAGACTATTGAAATTTCACGGTCTTCTGAGTTAACTTGGTCAAAAGGGATGAAATAGACGAGAACCCCTCTACAAACATTCTATAATAGCCAACCAAACCCAAGAAACTCCTAATATACGTTGGAGATGTGGGTCTAGGCCAATTCTGCACTCCCTCAATTTTGTAAGTATCAACTTTAATCCCCTCTCCAGACAGAATATGGCCTAAAAATGCCACAGACTCGAGCCAAAATTCACACTTAGAGAATTTAGCATATAACTCCTTATCTTTCAAAGTCTGAAGAACTATTGTGAGATGACTAGCATGATCTTCTTCATTCCTTGAATAGATTAGTATGTCATCAATGAAGACGATAACAAACATATCTAAATAAGGTTTGAATACTCTATTCATAAGGTCCATGAACGCTGCAGGTGCATTGGTTAAACCGAACGACATGACCATAAACTCATAATGACCATACTGGGTCGTGAAAGCTGTCTTTGGAATATCACGTTCCCTTACTCTCAACTGATGGTAACCTGTTTTGAGGACAATTTTCGAGAAATAAGAAGCACCTTGAAGTTGATTGAAAAGATCATCAATCCTTGGAAGAGGATACTGGTTCTTGATGGTAACCTTGTTCAACTGACGGTAATCTATACACATCCTAAGTGAACCATCTTTCTTTCTCACAAATAAGACCGGAGCGCCCCAAGGTAAAACACTTGGTTGAATAAAGCCCTTATCTAATAGATCCTTTAACTTCTCTTTTAGCTCTTTCAACTCTGCTGGTGCCATTTTATTTGGCGGAATAGATATCGGACGAGTATCTGGAAGAAGATCTATACCGAAGTCTATCTCTCTCTCAGGAGGGACTCTGGGAAGATCATCTGGAAAGACTTCTGGAAACTCTTTTACTACTGGAACTGACTGAATAAGAGGTACCTCAACACTTGAGTCATTAACTCGGACTAAGTGATAGACACCCCTTAGAAACCAACTTCCTTGCCTTAAGGTACGAAATGAAACGACCCTTAGGCACTGCTAAACTGCTTTTCCACTCTAAGACTGGATCATTTGGAAACTGAAACTTGAACACTCGAGTTCTACAATCAACTGAGGCATAACAGGCATGAAGCTAGTCCATACCAAGAATGATATCAAAATCTACTATGTTTAACTCAATTAAATCAGCTATGGTACTCTTATGAATAATGGAAATGGGACAATCACGATAGACTCTCTCCGCTAGAATAGACTCACCAACAGGTGTAGAGACACTGAATGGTTCACTAAGTTGCTCAGGAATAGCATCAAAGTTCATAGCAACATATGGAGTTACAAAAGATAAACTCGCTCCTGGATCTAGCAAGGCATTAACAGTAAAGTCAAAGACTTGAATCATACTAGTGACAACATCTGGTGAATCCTCTTGCTCTTGGCGACTGTTGATATCATATAAGCGGTTGTTCCTCTGCCAGTACCGGAAGTAGCCCCTCTAGGTGCAATTCTTTCTAGTGGAGCAACTGAAGAAGACTGGGCTCTATTTCCCCCATTACCATTTCCCTACTTGTTCTTTGGACACTCTCGCATGAAATGCCTAGTCTGACCACACTTGAAACAACCCGTGGAGCCCTCACGACAAAATATCTGAGTGGTTCCTACCACACTTGGCGCATGCATAAGGCTTACTACCCCCTTGCGCCACACTACCTTGAGAATAGACAGGTTTAGCTCTGGAATTCTGACCATTGTACTCACCTTTGTTCCTAGGTGCAGGTGCACTAGCAGATGATGAAGCAGGTCCCTTCTATATTTGTTGGAAGGATGACCGGTTGACATTACTTTTCTGTTGCCTGGACTCATTCCCTGTCTTAGACCTCTTGTTCTTGAATTCCTCTCTATCCCTCAGCTTCTCTTCCTCTACTTTTTGCACATAGACCATCAACCTCGAAATGTCCATGTCCCCAATAAGCATTGCTGCCCGACCCTCTTTGCTTGATAGACGAGACAACCCAGCAACAAACAGACTCATCCTACTCCTCATGTCCGCAACCATTTCCGTAGCATAGCGAGACAGTTGGGTGAATTTCAACCCATACTCATGAACACTGAAAGAATCTTGCTTAAGTGTGAGGAACTCTCGTACCTTAGCCTCTTTCAGTTGTCGGGGAAAGAAACTACCCAAGAAAGCCTCCTCAAAATAAGCCCAACTCGCATTGGTCAAACCAAGTCCTATCAATATTCTTCAGTTGATATGTAGCTAGTTTAACTCGCTCAGTATCAGCAACATGCATGACCTCAAATACCTTCTTCAACTTCTCAATGAAGTTCTCCGGATCCTCAGTAGTGCTCGAACCCGTGAAACTTGGAGTGTTCATCCTCAAGAACTTATGAATCCTTGAAGTGTCAGCTCCTTCCTGTCGAGCTCCCCTTTGCTGACCAACCTGGTTAGTCACAGCTTGACTCAGCATCCTAATTGCCTCTCTAAACTCAGCATTAGTGAGTTCCCTTTGAGGTTGCACTTCAGGTGCATTTGGTAACTCTTGTTCTTCAACATTTCTCCTAGCTGGACGACCTTTGACTCCTCTTCGTGGCAGCATGCTTATCTAAAAACACGTGCAAACATGAATTAGAAGGAACTTTTTGGAGATCAACTCTAACGCACGAAATGAGTGTGAAAAAAGTGAGAGATTTTCCTAAATGTTGCAACCTCCTAATTATAAATGTGGCGCGCTACATACATTTAACTATCTAGGGATCTACAAACACGGTTTCATAGAATCCCTAGGACTCTTGTACTCTATGCTCTAATACCAAGTTTGTCACTCCTTGAGGCTACGCCCTGGGTAAGACGGGCACTCGAGAACTAGTGCTAGCCCAAGCGAACCCCCTGGCCTGGCTTACTTACTCAACGGAAGACTTAAACTCAACAAAAATAAGTTTATATAATAAACTAGAATGTTATAAAAGAACATTCAACTGTCCATTAAGGCAAACTCAAGTCTCAACATGGAATAATTACAATGAAAAGACTAAAGAACTAACATCTGACTGTCTATAAAGACTCTATAAAGAACTAAAATAGATGTCAGGACATGACCCCCGATCATCCTAACAAATGAAATACTGAAAAGAACTAAAATCAATAAAGGAGTCCTCCGAAATGCAAGAAGGCTCACCACTGGCTCTGAAGTGGTCAACTGGATCAAAGGTGCATCGGTTGCCGATCCTAGATACCTGTATCTACATCATAAGATGATGCAGGCCAACTGGCATCAGTACATTGAATATACGAGTATGTGAGTTGGAATGCTAAAACAACATAGACTTGAGATGAATCTAAAAGAAATTGAAGAACTTACCTGGCTCAACTCAATATAACTGAACTCATTTTAATATAAAGCAATTTAAAACAAGTGCAATATAAAGAAACAAAATGTTTAAAAACATGCTGTCAACTCTGTGTGTATGCAATGATACAACATAACTCTGAAATGTATGTAAAAAATACAAATAACTATGTATATAAGAATACAATAACTTATGTAGGAGTTTCTCTAACCGACAACCATCACGTAATAACTATTGTGATGAAACAACGATTTCCCTCACGCTGCCAGAGCATCCTATACCTTTCAAAGGGCATAGGAACATGAACTACTAAGTGGATCCACTAGTCTATGCTAAAAAGTACTAAATCAATCACCTAAAAAGTATGACCCTTTTCTAGCCATGATGGCTACATGATTTATGGAGGCTGTGAATTGTCTGAACTCTCCCCCATATCGGTGCTCAATACTACTTCCAAAAATATAGTAATATTAGCTCTTATGTTTAAAAACATACTTCTTTTGTGATTTGAGATTAGTGCTCAAAAACTTAGCTCAAAGGCTATCTTGGAAATCAAAGTTTCCCCTCTTGCTTCATTTAGAAAGCGATTACTATTTTCTAAAAACTACCCCTAATGCTCTTTGGAAATCTCAGTGGCCGTTCCTATTTAAATGTGAAAACATTTTAAATCTCTTTGGGAACACTTAGTCCCCATATACTTTTGAAAAAATGAACTTCAACTTTACTCTTTGCTGAACTCAAAACTTTAAGTCTTAAAAGAAGGTTAAATTGCGAAAGACTTTGGGAAAACTTTATGAACTTCTCTTGACTGAACTCTTGATTTCTCTTGACTTTGATCTTAACTGCTCCTGACTTGACTCTTAACTGGTCCTTGAATTGAATTATGAATTCAAGGATTGTGATTCGTGATTGGAAAGATCTTATGATGTTTAGGAATGATTTTAGATAGCTAAACATGATAAAAGACCAAAAATCAAGATTTGACGGTGGGTCCGTGATGCGGAGAAGGTTTTAAAATTTAGTTCCAAAAATGACTTTTGAGGCAGAAGAATCCGTGACGGCTCCGCGACGTGAAACGAAAATTCCCAAAACTGGGAACCAGCTCCGCGACGTGCCACTGATGTCGGATTTCGTTTGACGAAATCTCTTCTTCATTTTTTTACTCTAAACCCTCTAAACTTCGTGGGTTCTTTTACCCAACACTTAGAATTGATTAACTATTCAAAGTAATCAGATTCTACGTAAAATCGAACCTAAAATCACATATTAGGATCAAACAACTCCTCAACAAATTCAATGAAACAAGAATCTAATGATACTTCAACAAACCCATTCAAGAACTCAATTTCTAAGCTTTCAAGAATTTAAACTCGCTGAAATAAATCATGATTGGTGCGTGGGTGATGTCATACCCCGAGCCTACACCCTGGGTGGAACTAGCAATTGAAGACCATTGCTGGTCCCAAGCGAACCCTTGGCCTGACTTACTTAACTCAGCGGAAGACAAAATTCATATCTATAAATATAAATGTACTTAACTGAATTGAAATAAAATAACTGAGAATGTTTTAAAGATTAAACATTCAACTTGGCCAAAAGTGGCAACCCAAGTCTTAACAATAAGAAATTATAATGAAAAGACTCAAAGGACTAACATCTGACTGTCTATGAAGCCTTTAATAACAACTGAGATGGATGTTGGGACAGGCCCCACAACATCCTAAAAAAAAACTAAACTAGAAAACAATAAAAATAAGTCCTCTGGAATGCAAAGAGGCTCATCGACTGACTCTGAATTGCTCACTGGATCAACGATTCGCTGGAATGCCAATCCTAGTTACCGGTGTCTGCATCATAATAAGATGCAGGCCAACTGGCATCAGTACATTGATGTGCGAGTATGCGAGTTGGAATGGTAACGAACATAGGCTGTAAGGAAATTTGAAAGAAACTGAATAACTTACCTTGCTCAACTCAACTCAACCTGACTGACTCATTTCAATATAATTCAATTTAAAACAAGTGCAATATAAAGAAAAGCTGTTTAAAAACATGCTATAAACTCTGTGTGTATGCAAAGATACAATAAATCTGAGATGTATCTAGAAATACAAATGAACTGATGTATATAGAAATACAATAACTATTGTGGGAGTTTTTCTAACCGACAACCATCACATAAAAGCTATAGTGATGATACAATGATCTACCTCACACTGCCAGAGCATCCTATACCCGGCCAAATGTATAGAACCTGAACTGCCTAATGGATCCACTAGTATAATCTGAAAAGGATTCATCTAAAAAGTATGAACCTCTTCTACCCATGATGGCTACATGGTTCTATGAGTGCTGTGGGTTCTTTGATTGCTCCCCCAATTGGGTGATCAATACTACTCCCAAAAATGTACTGACTCTTATATTTTTAAAACATATTTCTTCTGTGATTTGAGATTAGTGCTCAAAAACTTAGCTCAAAGGCTATCTTGGAAATCAAAGTTTCCTTTCTTGCTTCATTTAGAAAACAATTACTTTTTCTGAAAACTAGCACGAAGGCTCTTTGGAAATCTCAGTTTCTGATCTTATTTAAATGTGAAAACATTTTAAATATCTTTGTAAATACTTAGTCCCCATATACTTTTGAAGAAATGAATTTCAACTTTACTCCTTACTGAACTCAAAACTTAAGTCTTAAAACAAAGTTAAAACGTTTGCAAAAGACGTTTAGAAAACTCTAAGAACTTCTCTTGACTTTGATCTTAACTTTCCTTGAATTGAATTATTGATTCAAGGTCCATGATCTCATGTTTATGGATGATTTCATGGTATTTAGATGTACTTTAGAGTGTTGGAGTCGACTAGGAAACATAGTACATCACTTAGGAACAATTATGAGAAGGTGGGGAAAGAATTTGGAGAACTGACATCCCACGCGCTCTGAGAGGTGCGGGGCGCCAGCCCTCAACATTCAGAGAGCAAGCTGGGGTGCTCTGGCTGGCGCGTTGCCCCAGATCCTCACATTCAGGGACTGCTTTAGGGCGCGCTGGCTGGCGCGACGCCCCACCCCCCTCCCTTGGTGTTTGACGACTTTTCTTCTCTGTTTTTCATCTCTAAACTCTAATGGTTCTTTCTCTAAAAACTTAGAATCATTAGTACTCTCAACTTACAACAGATCTAACTCGAAAATCCACTAGGAAACATGAATCAAATCAACAAGAAACCTCAACAACACAACCAATCAAGAACTCAACGATGTCTTTCAAGAACTTTTTAACATGTAAACAACCAAAAATTGCTGAATTGAAACAAGTTGGTGTGTGGGTGAACTAACCCATCACTAAAAGATCTCACATACCTTAATAGGGATCACCCCCGATGAATTCTACTTCAAACGCTTGATGTTCTTGGCGAAATCTTGGCTTTTCTCCCTTTTTTTTTTCTACTTTCTCCAAGCCCTAAGCGTATTCTAATTTACCAAAACTGAGTTAATTTCAGTTTTTACCCCATTAAATCCCTAAAAACGAATTAGGAAATTAATTAGAGAAAAGACTACTTTGCCCTTCCCTAAA